TAGAGATTCCAATCATACATCCAAACCGGAGACCAAAACCAGCAAGTGACCATACCACGACGACCAGGACGATGAGACGAAGAGATCGCCGTCGAGATCGCCGCCGCACGCTGCCGCACGCGCCCACACGCGCCGCCGGGAGGAGCCTGCTGCTGGAAGTTGTCGTCGCGCGTGTGAGCGCGTGAGAAGGCCGTTTTCCGACCGGTCAATGCCGTTGACTTCGCGGTGACGTCAGCTTTCTGGATTGGTCAAGTTTGTTCGATTCCGAGAAGATTTGATTTGCGGTCATCTGTCCGGGCCAGCCAGATCTACATAAATTTTAAGCAGTAAGTTTTCTTCATCAAACCTTTAGATCCGTTGTGCATAGGTTTATGTTAAATGTTTGTCTGTGATTTGTGCATATCGAGATCCTCATGGGTTCCAACAGGGGGAGCCCCCTTCTTCATTGTGCTTGTTCTAGCCGGTGCTCTTCTCGTATGGATGGTATCGATCACCTTCAAATATGTTTTCAACCCCGATTTGATTGAGCCTTCTCCATGATTCGAGGTTTTGTTTTTCTTTGTCACCAAATGGAATGGTTGCTCCTCCTCATTCGGTTGGGATGGATGTTCAAGCTCCATATCCTCTTCAACATCACTATCTTTTTTACATAAAGGCTTTTTGCCTTCGGCTTTTTCTTGGTGCATCTTCGCACGGATAGAAACCGCTTCAAGGGCCACTATCACTTCCTTGTTTTTTGAGGTAGGGTGGCCCTTGGTAGAGGTTTCCGGCATAGCATCAATCTCCTTGGTAGAGGTTGTCTCCAAAGGGGCTATGGTGGAGGTTTCTGGAATGTCAGTCTCCATGGGCGCTTTCGTCTCCTTAGGTGCTATTGTCTCCATTTTCTTGGTAGCGGAATGGTTTGTCTCTGTAGGTGCTTTTGAAGTGTCCTTGTCCCGGGATGGTTTGGGTCTCTCGGCTTTGGCATTGGACTTTTTCACCTTTGGCTCTTCCGGATATATGTGGCACTTTTTAGAGGCATGTCCAATTTGGTTGCAACTATGGCAAAAGGCCGGGACATATTCATACTCCACTTCTTGAAAGAAACTCTCACCGTCATAAGTTTCCACTTTGACTTCATGCAATAGTTCCTCGGAGACATCTATTTCTACAAGGACCCGTGCAAAGTTACACCTCTCTTTGGTTTCGGTGAGCTTGTCGGTTGAGATGGGCTTCCCAAGATTGGAGGCAATTTTCCCTATAGCATTTGCATTCCAACACTCAAAGGGTAAGTAAGGAAGCTTCACCCAAATAGGCACAATTTTTTGCGTCATCATCCCCAAACCGGAACCATTTAGGGACGGCCTTTAGAATGAGACTTCTCCCGTAAATGTATACGAGCCCCCTTCAACCACTTTATCTCGATTCTCCTTCGTTGGGAACTTGAACATTATCCATCTGTTGACGTCGGGGATATATTCGTATTTGACTTTCCAAGAGCTGCATAATCTCAATAATGCCTCTTTCCCGGGGTGTCTATGTGTGAAATATCCCACAAGGCAATATCCCCAAGTCATTTGGACATCATCTACATCCTCTTTTTCCAACCAGACCTTGCCCTCTGATGGCTTGGTGTAGTTGATCTTGAGTCCATTGGAAGGCTTCCGGTTGTTTGCAAATAACTCGTTGAATGGACGTTTGCGAAGGTTTGTGCTTCCTTTTTCCGTGTTCCCCACCTTAAGCTCCGCATTTGGTCTCTCCAAAGTAGCATATTTTCCTTGGGGCATTTCGTCGAACATGTTGTTGGCTGTTTTCGGGGGCTGATTTGTGTCATGTTTTTGTACCTCTCCTTGCCCAACCTGTTTCTCTTCAGCTAGTTCTACATTAATATCAACATTATCCAAGTTAACATCACCATTTACACTCATTTTAATCGCACTAGTATTTGATCCTATGCATTTGCACATATATAAAACACGTTTTTTTTTATTTATTAATTAGACATGTAATTCTATTATATAAAAATTATTACTTTTTCCTATGTTATTTTTATCATTCAAAATTAATTGAGACTTAAATTTTATTTTAACCATGCAACATTTACATTAGTAACATGAATAAAATAATTTATATATTTGTGGCATATATTAAGAAAATTAACATAAATAAAAAAATTATTTGTGTTTCTGATTTTTAGAAAAAAATATGTGTCAATCATATTTTTTTTTCCAACAATACAACCAAATATAAGGGTTACAACTCTGAATATGTCAATCAACTTTAAGTTCCAGCATTAGCCGTTACACATTTAAATTTTTTTTGCTATCAAATTTAGAATTAATTTAGTAACTGATCCAAAAATAAATAATAAATATATATATATATATATATATATATATATATATATTAAGGTATAACGGTTTTAGTAGATTAATGAGTAATTAATTAAAAAAATGTAACTCCTTTTGGAGGGAAATGAAAATAAGTTTTATTAAATGTTTTATTAAATGCATTAGCAGTATATATATATATATATATATATATATATATATATAGGGGAGGATCCAATGAGTCCACTCCTTAAAATGAGTCCACTCCTAATATATATTAATTAAAAATTATTAGTTGACTCCGACATTGATCGTTGACTTCCGACGTTGACTGTTGACTTCCGG